AAGAGAACATCAGCGAACCCAAGTTGGGTAAATGGAGGCCAGTTAAAAGAGTTGGTACTGTATTTCAGTCAAAGAATCTCCTGTTACATGGAGTCTATCTCATACCAAACTTAAATAACAGTTTTTCAGTAGGATTTAATTAGATGCATTATATGCATGAAATACTGTTTGTCCAGGTATTATCCTTCCTGAAAAGTTTTAGGAAAGATAAACCTGCAGTGTAGGCTACAACATTAAGAAAATTTTTCTTCCTTTTTTGCTAGAGGGCATATGCACCCTCCAGAAAGAGAGAAAGGGAGAGGAGAAAGCAGTCCCCTTCCCTATAGGGAATAGTCATGCTGAGGTTCTTCCTCTTCCATCTCTTTGGGGGGTTTTAGGCACACACACATGCATCTGGTGTGTTCCTCAAGCCACCAGATCTCGTTCAAGTCCCACATGGTCAGCCATGTGGGATCCAGCTGCCTTAACCATCAGGCCTCAGAGCCAGTCCAGGCTATAATATTCCAGTCTGCTATGTGTCGTTTCCCCAGGGCTGTCCACATTCCAATGGTGAGCAGTAGCACGATCCTCTGATGTGGCGTCATCCTGTGGATAGATGTGGCATGAATGTCAGAAAGGCAGGTTTCAGATCAGTGTCCCAAAGAACCTTCTAGTGCCTAACGAGAGTTCGTCAGCAGATAGCTGTCGCATGAAATAGTGGGTGTTTCCCCAGAGGTATGTAGGAATAGGTGGGATTCCCACAGGCAGAAGGATCTCAGTCCAGCGCGGTACTGTTCCAGATGGCCTTTAAGGTGTTTTTCTTTTCTTTTTTTTTTTGAGAGTTTTTTCCTATAGGGCGCGTGTGCTCGCCAGACAGAGAGAGACAGAGAGATAGAAAGCAAGAAATCACCCCCCAGGGGGGATGGCCATGCCGCAGTCCCTTCTTCTCCAGTCTCCACTCGGGATCTTGGGCACACATGCACACGTGCCCTGCGTGAGTTTTAAGCCACTGGGTCCAGGACATGAACCGTGGTAGACTACCTGGGAGTCCAGCAACATAGCCATTACGCTAACTGCTGGTCCCCTTTTTAAATGATTATTTATTTATTTATTCATTTATTTTAATTTGACCAGAGACAGACAGACAGACACACACACACACAGAGCCTCCAGGTCCGGGACTGAAACCGTAGTTGGCCGTGTGGAAGTGTCCAGCACCTTATGCACAATGCCATCTGCTGATCCCCTCCTTTAAGGTGTTTTTAAATTTAAATTTAATTTTTTATTTCTCAGCTACTTCTTGGCTCCCACATAATTTTTCTTTAGGTCTGGTCTGTTGTTTTTCACTGCTGGGGCCTCCGGCCACTCATTTACGTCGCTGTACATTGCCTGAAAGTATCTGAAACAGACATAACCAAAACAACGTCTGTACCAGGCCATTCATCACTTTTAAGAGGGTACGGATATGAAATACAGTCTGATGCTTTTATTTCCTTAGTGCCTGTGATAATTGCTCAATAAAAACTGTATGTCTTCGAGCCCTCTAAAGGAAGCAGTAAATATTTAGTCTTGGCAATGGTAGCCTTCAAACCTTACCCACTAGACACTTTTCTCCGTCCTGATTGGTGTGCAGAGGAGATTTTGTAGTGGGAACTCAATCTTCTTCAAATAGAACGTATAATGAGGAGAATGCAATGAAAGAAGGTGTACATTGTGATCACTTTACGTGTTCTCCCTCTTGAAGAAAAGCAAATAAACAAAACCAGAAGTTACAAAGCCTGTAGATTGGGGGTGATTATGTACATTATAAAATAATTTTTCATAATAATTTATGATAGGATTTCTTTAAGAATCCATTTTCTTTAATACACTTGAGAGTTTATTCTCACATATCATGAGC